GGAAAACAAATATGTAAGATACTTAAGAATTCATTTTAGTAACTCATTTAACAAATCAATAATTGCAGAATGCCTTATAGACTCTGGCAGCCCTATTTCATTTTTAAAGGAAAAGTTTGTGCCATTAAAAGTAAAGCGTATGCCAGATGCAAATTCGTATGTAGGTTTAAATGAAAGTAAATTGAAAAATTTTGGAAAAATTTTATGTTTTATGAAGAAAAAGTTAATAAATGTTTATTTTAATGTTATAATTGTGGCAAATGAGTCTATGAGGTATGACGCTGTGCTTGGTAGAGATTTTATGGATTCTTTTGGTTTAAATATTGATTTAAGAACATTAAAAATTGTGAACGGGCATAAAGTTGATCACCAGAATAATGGTAAAAATGATATCATAGCTACAAGCTACAAAGAAAAACAAAAAAAAGTGGACGATGAAGATATCAAACACGAGCAAAATGAAACTATATTGTTAAATGATAAAATCGTTAATAAGGAAATAGTCAGTAATGAAACTGGTAGTGATGAATTAGTTAGTGAGAAAATTGTTAGTCCGGAAACGCTTGGTGATAAAGTTGGTAGTGATGAGATAGTTAGAAATAAAATAATTAGTGGTGAAATAGTTAGAAATGAAGTGATTGGGATCGAAACTGTTAGTGATGAGATAGTTAGTTATGGAGAGCTTAAGCTCGAACCTGATAGTGAAGAAGTTGTTAGTGATGAAATTATCTATAATCAAACCGGGATTGAAAAAGTGATTATAGAAGATATAGGAAACAGTGCAGTTAAAATTAATAATCATGTTAATGAAGCGCCAGTGAATAGCGAAATCATGGGAGTGTTAGAAGAGAATTTTGAGAAGGATATCTTAACAATAAGTTGGGAAGATTCTAACAAAAGAGAAAATATATATATTTTAAGTGAAGATATTGATTACAGCACAAAGTGTGAATTTGAAAATTTATTTGAAAATACTTATGTAAAAGCGAAAAGGCCAAATCAGCCAAAATTAAGACATGAGTTAAGCATAAGATTAGAAAACGACAAAGTATTTAATTGTACACCTAGGCGGTTATCTTATATGGAAAAAGAAAAGTTGCAAGAATTATTAGACGACTATTTAAAAGATGGAATCATTAGGCCAAGTTGTTCAGAGTATGCATCACCTATAGTACTAGTGAAGAAAAAAACTGGAGACATGAGGTTATGTATTGATTTTAGAAGACTGAACAAAATTATATGTAGAGACAACTACCCGCTACCATTGATCGACGATTTATTAGACAGACTATGCGGAAAAACAGTATTTTCAAAGTTGGATCTAAAAAACGGGTATTTTCATGTTTTTGTTAATGAGCAATCTATTAAATATACTTCATTTGTTACCCCTTTAGGACAATATGAATTTCTTAGGATGCCCATGGGTTTAAAAACTGCGCCACATGTATTTCAAAGATTTGTTAATAACATATTTTGTGATATGATAAAAGATAATAAGGTAATTGTTTACATGGATGATATTATGATAGCAAGTACAAACATAAAGGAACACATGGAGACCTTAAAGGAAGTGTTTATAAGACTGGTGCAAAACAAATTAGAGTTGAAATTAGATAAGTGTGAATTTTTTAAAAGCAGCGTTAAATATTTAGGATTTGTGGTGGATAGTAAAGGCGTTAGGGCTGATGAAAAAGGGTTAGAAGCGGTTAAATCCTTTCCAATACCAAACAAAATTCAGGGAGTACAAAGTTTCCTAGGGTTATGCTCCTACTTCAGGAGGTTCATTTTAAACTTTTCTATATTAGCTAAACCCTTATATGATTTATTGAAAAAAGATAAGAAATTCAAGTTTGGAGAAGAGGAGTTTAAGTGTTTTAATATGTTAAAAGATAAATTGTTAGAGGCGCCAGTACTATCAATATATAATTACAAAGAAGAAATAGAACTACATTGTGATGCCAGCGCAGTGGGATTTGGGGCTGTTTTATTTCAAAAAAAAGAAGATAGGAAATTACACCCGATTTTTTATTTTTCTAAAAGAACAACCGAAGTAGAGTCTAAATATCATAGTTTTGAGTTAGAAACGCTAGCCATCATTTACGCATTACGCAGATTTCGTATATATCTGCAGGGAAAACGATTTAAAATAATGACAGATTGCAACTCTTTAACTTTAACGCTTAACAAAATAGATTTAAATCCGAGAATTGCTAGATGGGCGTTAGAACTACAAAATTACGATTTTGAGTTAGTGCATAGATCGGGCAAGCAAATGCAACATGTGGATGCGTTAAGCAGATGTTATGAGGACATTTTAGTTATTGAATCCAATAGTTTTGAGGACAATTTAGTTATTTGCCAAAGCAAAGATGACAAACTGGTAGATATTAGAAAGATGTTAGAAAAAGAAGAGCACAAGCTATTCGAAATGAGAAATGGGGTCATTTACAGAAAAACAAATGATGGCAGATTAGTTTTTTATGTACCAAAGGATATGGAAGAACATGTACTTTACAAATATCATGATGAGTTGGGACATGCTGGGAGAGATAAGATGATCGATGCCATTGGAAAGAGTTACTGGTTCCCATATATTAAGGAAAAAGCAATAAAGCATATAGGGAATTGTTTAAAATGCATTGCCTTCGCCCCCAAGACGGGTAAGAGTGAAGGACTATTACATAGCATACCGAAAGGAAACAAACCGTGGGAGATGATCCATATAGACCATTATGGACCAATTAATGCAGGAAGGGCTAATAAATATATATTGGCGGTGGTTGACGGATTTTCAAAATTTGTTAGACTATATACAGCAAAGACAACAAGTACGAAAGAAGCGATTAAGGCATTAAAAGATTATTTCAGAGCGTATAGTAGACCTAAGTTCATTGTATCGGACAGAGGGAGTTGTTTTACTGCAAAAGAGTTTGATGAATTTTTAAAAAATGAGGGAGTAACGCATATTAAAATAGCAACGGGTTGTCCGCAAGCAAATGGTCAGGTGGAAAGGTTGAATAGAGACTTGGGTCCGATGATGGCAAAAATGGCGGAGCCAGAAAATGGTTTACATTGGGATGTTATTATAGAAAATGTTGAATATGCAATAAACAACACACAACACAAAAGCATAAAGAAATTTCCAAGCGAAATGTTATTCGGATTACAACAGAAAGGAAAAGTTGTTGATGAATTAAAAGAAAAATTAGAAGAGTTTACACAGGTGAACACGTGTGATAAAAGAAATTTAGAAAATATAAGAAAGAGTGGAGAAATATATCAAAAAGAAGCTCAAATCAGAAATGAAGAGCGGATTAATAAAAAGAAGAAAGTATCAGTAGAATATAAAATAGGTGACTATGTCATGGTAAAAAATTTTGATAGCACACCAGGAGTTTCAAAAAAGTTAATACCAAGATATAAAGGGCCTTATAGTATAGAAAAGATTTTAAAAAATGATAGATACTTGTTAAAGGATGTAGAAGGCTTTCAATTATCTCGCAACCCGTACGTTGGTATCTGGAATAGCCAAAACTTTAAGCATTGGATGCGAAAATAGGCAATAAGCATTAGTTATAAAGATAGATACACATATAAAAGACAGAGATCGGGAGCTCTCTTTGTCAGGATGGCCGAGTTGTAATAGGATAAGAGCATCATTGGTAACCCTAGCCAGGGTATTATAGTGTCACTATCTATGTTAATTATAACAGTACGATAAGTAAATATCGATAAAGAAAAGCGGCTGCAGAGAAGAAGTGGAAGGCAGTCTCTCGACAGTACTAGCAGTAAGAAGACGTGTTGTTAAAAATAAAAAGGCAACCCGAACATAAGTTAAATCAACGAAGAAAATCATACTATTACAATATAACTAAATACCACTTTTCTTCTATCTATCTGTCTGTAAATATCTATATCCTTTACGATATGAACAGTAATTACTATTCCTTTTACTTTTTATAGTCAAACGAAAATTTAAATCCTTTAAAAATATAGCAATATCCTCTACAAATCGAGCATTGTTAATTTATGCCCTTACTCGACTTTGCCTAAACACGTTTAATTTATACAAATTTAATGAAAATAGTTTTGTGCTCTTTCGTATTTCTCGTATATCTAGCTCAGCACCTCATCTTTAAATTAAAATATGATGCCACGACCTGCTCCAAGAAAGTAGTATTTATTTCCTTTTGAATAGTAGCTAATAGTAGGTAGGGTAACTGGCAGTCGCTTCTGTTGCGTTTCAACTGATTTGCTGCTGTCATTGCTGATGTTGTCTCAGGCTCGTGACGTTTGCCATTTTGTGTTGACAGCCCAGTAAAATAAAAGTAAAATCGATTCAATGACTGCCTGTTGCTACCGTTGTCGTTGTTGTTGTCGTTGTTGTTGTCGTTGTTGCTGCCGCTGCTGCTTGTCCCTGTTGCTTAACAAGTTTACCTTTTAATTAAATTTGCCGCCCATCCATGCAGGCCAGCCCCAGCCACAGGCCCCGCGCACAGCGCCTTATTATTGGCCAGTAAACAGCATCAACAACGGCAACCGAGGGGCGGCTCTTGTTGCCATTGTGGCAATCTCTTGGCTATTGTTTGCATTGTTGTTGCTGGTTTTGTTGTCGCCTGTACGCCTTGCTATCTTTATTAGATTAATTTTAAGGATTGTTCTACAATCTAAGGCACTTTAAATGTATATCAAATATTTAATGTGACTCAATTGTTTGTATTTAAAATTCAAATAATTTTCAAATTTTTTAAAATACTGCTATAAATCCATTTTAAGTTATTATTCTGGCAAATATTGGCAATAATTTGTTTCAATGTAAAAAACATTAGCCTAATGAATGTACATGTATATTATACGTTTATCATAAGATATTTGTCCCCTGAAACGAGCTCTTTTTTGAAAGGATATTTTAAAAATTATCAAATTTCAAACTAGTTAATTTAAAGATATAAAAGTCATAGATTTATGAAATTAAAAATTAAATTAATGGCTGTGCTTACATGTATTCATCATTTGAGATTTGTTGTCAGTTGTAAACGGCGTTGTTTGTTTATTCGTTGTTTAAATTGGTTTTTGTTTGTTGTTGTTTTAATTTGCAATAGAAAATTAAATAGATTTTTCTTAAGTAGTTGTTGCATTAGAAATTTTTTTTTGGGTTTTTTGTTGTTTTGTTTTTACACAATTTATTTGATAGAAAAGCGTAGCTTATTTACAGTAAGTTAGATTATTTAAACAATTTGCAGTGGATTCATTTATTTATCTATTTTGAATGCACTTGAACTTTGCTTAAAGTTTAACTGGCAAAAGGAAATCAATTTAATGAGATTTTCTGCTAATTAATGTAACATTTGACAAATTGTACGAGTCGCACTTCACGAGCTTCAGTCGCCGTCTGAGCCAAAAGCTGACGGCTGTAGTTATGTTGCATTGCCTGCAGGGAGCAGGAAATACTGGGCACATAAAACTGGGATATTCGTCGTGTATAAAATACTGGTTTGCGAACAGAACAATTAATACGGCAGCAGCGGGAAAGAGACAGAGACGTGCGAGCCGCACGTTTAATTCAATGCACTCTCATTGTGCCATATTCCTCATACGCACTCCTGTCCATTGTCCAGCTGCAACTTGTTGTAGTCTTTTACACAAGCCGAGCAATTTGCCATTAGATATGTGTGCGTGCATGTGTGTGTGTGTGTGTGATGTGATGGCACACAGGGCTGCCAACTTTCTTGTGATGTGCGCTTTTGCAGTTAACAGTTAACATTTGCGTTGCGCATTGTTTTTGGCTCTATTCTCGTGGGGTTTTTGTTGCTGTGGTCGTTCTTCTTATTGTTGTTGGTGTTGTTGCTGTTGTTGTTGTTGTTGTTGCTGTGTGTGGTGAACTTATCACAGCGAGCGAGTCCGTAAGCAAAGTGAGTGACTGCTGCCTCTGCTCACACACAACACACACACGCACACACAGAAACACAAACACAAACACACTCACTTAATTGTTTTACAGGTTTACTTATTATTTTTGAGCATATTTTTCTTTTAATTTTTATTTAATTAGCATTTATTTGAAAATGTCTCAAATATATTCAGAAAAAAATGTACAGTTTGTTTGTGTGTGTGTGTGTGTGTGTGTGTGTGTGCGTATGCTTTACAGCTTATTTAATGCGTGTATCCTGGCACAAATTAGGAGCGAGGTGCGAGAGGGAGGCACGACGAGATCACGGCCACAAAAACGACAACAACGACAACAGCGACGACGACGACGACGACGACGTGGAGAGTATATACGCTGAGGCTTGGGTTGGGTTGGGTTTTTATATTTTTTCTGTTTTCGGGGCCAGTAGGTGTAAGTAGGGGGGGTGGTGGTGGTTGGGTTGGCTTGATTCGGGTTGCGTGGTGTTGTGTGTACAGAAAAAAGAAATAAAAAAAAAAACAGAAACAAAGCGAGCAAAAATTTGTGAAAAGTAAAACGAACGCAATGAAAATTTAAAATCGCTTGAAAAACATACTCGAGTTGTTTGTTGTTTGTGTTTTCTTGTTTCGCTGTTTGCACTTCTATATTTTATGAATATATTTAATTATTAAGGAATGTAGCTTGCTCACACATGTACACATATACGCATATAGATGTCTGTACATATATACATATACAAATACATATACATATATATGTGTGTGTGTGCGCCCCTTTGTGCATTCCATATGCGCAATTTGTTGGCCTTATATTTAGTTTATCAATTACTTTTTGTGTTTTTTCTTCTAGCTGCTGTTACTGTTATTATTGTTGTGGTTGCTGCTGCTGTTGTTGCTGCTGCTGTTGTTGTTGTTGTTATGTTTGTTGTTGTACAATACGCGCGACAACGACAACGACTGCGTTGACTGCGGCTGCTGCTGCTGCTTGCTGAAGCTGCTGCTGCTGCCTGCTGCTGCCTGCTCCTGCTGTTGCTGCGACTACAACAACGACGACGACGGCAACGACATCACGACACGACAACGACTGAAACTGAAACTGAAGCCAACAGCGTCTGAGCTTTCAAGTGTCGAGTCGACAGGCGGCGCCAGAGTGCCACCCACAAACTAGCCTGTGTGACAGCCAAAGAGAAAGAGAGAGCCAGCGAGCGAACAGCAGCAGTTGCTGCGATTGTCGTCAGCGCTTGCCTCTCAGCCGCTTGTTCACTCTCTCTCCCTCTGTCCCTCTCTCTCTCTCTCTCTGTCTCTCTCTTTCTCTGCCATCAACCTTTTGCTCTCGCTGTGGTGAATTGTCAAAGGGAGTTATTAACCATACCAGCGAGATTAGTGGGTGGCACGCGGAGGAGTACAGGGGAGTACACTTAGTGGGCCGCTTCTGCTGCCTTTTCATATTTCATGTGCAATTTTAACACCTACTGCAAACTAACGGCGACAATAATTGTATGTGTGTGCGAGTGTGATTGCGTGTGTGTGTGTGTGTGTGTGTGTGTGTGTGTATTGCCTGAATACCTGTCCGCTTCTCTCTCGCCCAACTTTACGTTTCGCCCTCGCGATTGTTTTTCTGTTTCGCGCTCTGTCGCATGCTGCCAAACATTAACATCAAAGTTGATGTTGCATATTCATAACACTCGAGTGTACATTATACCATGTTGTTTTTGTTATTATTATTATTATTATTATTGATGTTGTTGTCGTTGTTGTTGTTGTTGCAGTGACTGTTTGATGTTGTGGCTGCGCTTGCTATTGGTTATGTTTTGTGGTTCTACTTATTTCAGTCTTTTTCAAATAAGAAACACAACAACAACAACAGCAAAACAAACGAAAATTATCTTCCGCTTGCCGAAGCTCTAATATGCTTACACTTATATTGCGAATTTGTGCCATTTCTCACCAAGAGTATATTTTCAATGTATATTTCAATTTCCAGCCGACTGTCCCTATAGAAGCTATATAAGATGCCATTCGTTTCTATATCCGCAATTGAGCACGGTAATCCGATCTGGCCCACTATATATATTATTATTTTAAACAAATAAGAGATGTCAAAAATATTATGTTTAAAAGTACATCTCAGGTTTTTATTTTTTTTACTAGTTTTGCTCGTTTTATGATCTTTATCTTGGAACTGTGCAATTTGAAAATAGAAGCACACTCAGTTCATAATTGAGAAAAAAAAGGAAGCTCTTAAGTCAGCCTTTGGCTTTGCCATTTTGGCCATTTGCTTGCTTAGAGACGTCAATGCGGTATGCGCCAGTCGCGGCGCCTGCACTGCATAAGAGTGCGCTTTTCCCGAAAATGCCGCCGATCCTTGCTGCATGCCACCAACCAACGAGAGATCTGCATGGAGCAAGTGGCCCGCGAGGGAAAAGGCACATTTAACTATTAATTTGGGTTACATGCGAAGAAGTTTTGTTCAACTCATTTTACTCAGTTTTACCAATACAATTAGGGTAAGTCAATAATGTGAGCAGAAAAATAGCCAAATATGATTTGACACAGTTTGTTGGCCTCATTTGACCCTATCTGTCAATTTTATATGTTTATGTAATTCGTATTAAATTTACTTCAATTTAGCTAATTGTTAAATTTATTTATGGGGATTCGAGAGAAATAAATATAAATTTCGTGATAAAATACAGATAGGAATACCATTACAAAAAAAGAAAAAAACAACTAAACCAATAAATGTTCAACAATTAAAATTAAATCATTTTTTATAGGATTGATTTGAAGTTAAATTATGCCCCCTACAAGACCAGGCATAAGCTGCTACTTTTAAAGGAAGTGTATGATAAAAGGTTTAAGAGAACTTTCACTGTATACATTACAAATTGTTTATTTGGAACTGCATGTAGGGTAAATTCTCAATGCATGTGGGAGTATTTTATTTGGAAGACAGTGAAAAATATTATTGCATACTTTTGGGCTTGGGCAGAAATCATAGAAAGGAGGCAACAATAACTGTCGCCCAGTGCATTTTCAAAATTACTTTGTCGTTGTCACTTTTATCTGCCAGCCATCATATGGTTTAGCGAGAATTGTCATGCGGTGTTAGCGCCGGAGAAGGTGCTGCCCGCCAGCTCCAACTCCGTTTAACGCACACAAAATGCGAGGGGAAACTTTAGCATTTGCTGCTGCTGCGGCTGCTGAATCTTTTTTGGCCGGCTCACGTGCCACATTTTCGGGCACGGCCCGAACAGCACTTTTATTCGCAGCGCTTTCCGAAGTATCCTGCGGGTGTCCTGTGCGCCTCGTACGCAGCTCATTTGCCAGCGGGCCTCTGCTTTCATCTTAAGCATAAACAGAGTGCGTGTGTGTGTGAGTGTGCTTATATTGTATATGTACACGCGACTGACGTCATTGAGCTTTTTATTGATTTTCATTTTACCGAAAAGTGCTTGCGCTAGGACTAGCAGCAGGACAGCTGCCCCCAAGTGGGCGGCCAACAGATGTCAGCGCAGCGCCAGCCGCGGCATAAAACGGAATATTTGTGGAAGGGCCAGCGGGTAGGCAAAAGGATGCTGCGGATAGTTGTTGATGCTAATGAAATTATCCGAATACTCGGAGAAAAATGTTATGGCAGTCGTAAGTCATCTGAGTGCAATCGAGTAACAATTTATTTTCCGAATGAATATATCTGAGAATTTGCTATTGATATAATGCACTAAGATATGTATTTATTAGATTTAAATGAAGATATTCGTCTCGTGGAGGCCCTTCAGAGAATTAAAGCAAACAAGTAAGAGGTCCTAGTCAGAAGCTCCCGACTAGGGAATACCCTGAAACCTCTTGTTCCAACACTAAATGAAGCTCGCGCTCGTTTGTAGTAATACAAATAAATTTAAAATTTAAAAACAAGGTCCCTTGGCAGGGTTAGATGTTATTTTCTTGTCGAACATTATGTTAGTAGATATATAAAGTTGCAATTTATATATATATATATATATATATATATATATATATCTCGGCATATCTACAGCCTCTGAATTTCGCCTATAATTTCAAAACAGATGCTAGTATTTCGCTCTACTCCGTTAGCCCCAAAGGCCTTGAATATATGGACAAGCTTGTGTTGTCCATTCAATGGAAATCCTTGTGTCTCGAATAAAATATCTAGATCAAAAGTTTCGTGAATAAATTTAGTCTAGGAGAGAAAGACATATGCTGTTTATAAGTGAATAATATTACTAGATAATATAGAACTTACTCCAGGCAGAATACATTTATCTTTAACTTGTTCCTTATTGATGATGTACTTGGACCAATACTTGTACCAATACTGTTCTTCATCATAGAGAGCTGAACACAAGTCAGGAACCATTATACTGAATACAGTTGGCTGCCAGGTTCCACGATCAAACCGATTTAATACGAAAGATACCTGAAATTAATAAAAATAATTGTGATGTTGCAATCCATTTTAATTTTATTGTTAAATGATTTGAATTCACTCAAACAATATTGACGGTTATAACCTGAATGCGATCACCAGGTTGAATATTCCAGACGCAGGTGAGATTGCCCGAAAAGCGTACCGACACAAAATCCGTTTTAAAGGTTGACTCAGAGGTATCGAAAAGGCCGCTTACATTGAGCACGTTACTAGGTTTATTGGGACAATCGGTGAATATATCCTCATTTTCAGGATTGAATTTATATTTTATAGCACTCGATTGCCCTTCTAATAAAATCAAAATCAACAACTGGCACACAAACTTTGGTGTGGACCACATCTTTTGTGTTTTTGTGTTCGCCTTGATTAGTCGAATAAAATTTCGAATTGGTTTTTGTGCATTACGGGCTGTGGGTTTTTATACACCAGAATATGAATTACATAACACGTGTCTAATACACAACAATAATTCAACATGTTTGTTAGATCGCACCTAATGTCAACACGCTGCTAGTTATATCGTTCAATATTTATGTATATTTTAAATACCGTAATTAAAGCAATGTAATTGTTATTTTTATCGTTTGCTTGATTTTTAATTAATTACAACAAGCGAGAAAAATTTGTCCAATATATACATTAACGCTTAAAATGTTATTCCTTCTGTAAAATGTGCGACATCATTTTGAGTCTTTGGGATTATTTCTGCAACGTTTCAAAAAGAAAGACTCTTTTTTTGAGTGATATTTTACACCCTTGCAGAGGTTATTATAATTTTGTCGTGAAATGTGTAACGCATTTAAAGATTTCACTATGCTCCCTTTGTTATTCCAAAATCTTATTTATATCGGATTTATGCCACGACTGCCTACTACATAATGTAAGTAATTGTAGAACATAACAATACACTCTTTTATCATATGATATTTCAATACACTATAAGTCCTTGAATATTGTAAAAGTAAAATAGTATTGTTCAACACATGGGTAAGGGTTAAGATACATATATTTGGGCTAACTACAGCACTAAATTGGTATGTCTTACAACACTCACAGGAAAAAGAGCACTCATCCAAATTGCTACGTGTGTTAGGCCTTAAAAATGAGTAAAATTTCTTATTAACCACAGTGGTTGAAAGTTTTACTAACGGCTGTGGTTTGCTGCCACTAGATATTATCGAATTAGCCAGGACAGCAACCAGCACAAAACTGGCGCCCTCTGTTGGTGCTATTTTTTAATAGGCGCCTGCGCTGTGCAACACTGTGAGAATAGAGCGGCAGCCAAAGTAAATGTCAAATCGTGATGCGAATCAGCGTGCAATGAAGAACGTTGCATAAATGAGCATAAAATAAACAGTTAAAGCAACCCACAGTCCCCAACCAACCCCCAGTAGCAAACACAGCACGTCCACACCCACCAAAAAAATAAAAACACACACAACCAAAGTAATATTTCATGAAATTTTCTATGAGGAATTAACAAAGCAAACTTCTTGCGTACTCTCTGTTAGCTTCCCATCTTGACAAAGAGCCGCCGCACACAGTCCGCCGCCCCTAACCCACAAACAAATCATCCAACGCTCTCTCGATTCGAGCTGCTGTGCGCACAGCAATCTCAACGAGACGGGGGCGAAAAATCTCTAATAAGGATTCATGAAAAATTCATGGCTTGGCATCGCAGCCAGCGTCCAGCAGCTCGTGAGTAAACGACAACACTTTGACTCTGCCACACGGAGCGAACAGCAGCGAATACGAAACGCAGAATCGACTGGCTTCCAAATTGTGCAATAAATCGCAGCGAACGCAATTTTCGCCAAACTCGAGAAATCCGTGCGAAAGGAAACGCGAGTGAAATAAAAATATAAATTTAAGCAACATAAAAGCGAAAATAAAGCAAAAGCCGCAAATTATTCGCTTCGATTGTATAATTTGTGGGGGCAGGCGGCCAACGGCAGCGGCCAGGAGCAGCGCACAAAATCGAGCCAAGGAAAACAAAATTGGCGAAAGGCGAAGCGAAGAAGGAAAAAAAAAAACAAGGCAAATGCGAAAACAATGACAAAATAAAATTGGATAAAGCTAAATTGAAGAGTTTGACAAGCGCCTAAAAATAGACTTTAAAGTGATTTTGTTTTCACATGTTTTCGCGTTTTTTCGCTAAACTGCGTTGTACGGAAGCGAATGTGGGCATAAAGCGGATTCGTACGAACTTGGGTGCAAAAGGAATACAACGAGAAAACGCCGCCGCTGCCGTAGCCGCCTGAAAGGTTGTGTGCGTGAGTGTGTGTGTGTGTGTGTGTGTGGAAAGAGCAGTCAGAGAAGGCGAAGTGATAGATAGAGAGAGAGAGAGAGAGAGAGAGAGCGAGAGTAAACGAAGGAAGTGGGTGGATTCGAGAGCAATTGGGGAAGTTAACGCAAAGCCGGAGCATTACTGTAAAGCCTCAAAAAGAGCACACGGCAAAGAGAAAGTCCAAAAAGGCAATTGTGGAACACGAGTGGAATTTGAATTCGAAATCAAAACATTCAAAGCCAAAGTGAAAATTACGAAAACTTACCCCAAAAATATGTAAACGGAAGGAAAATATCTTACAACTAAATTAAAACAAAGTATATCATGTAATAATACGCCCAACATCTTATCATAATCTTTCGTTAAGCGGTTGCAAAACTAATAAAAAAAAAAACGTAATCTCAATGCTGTAGTCTAAGTAAAAGATCGTGCTAAATATCGCATACATATCAACACTCTTGCAAAGAGTAAACGTAGCGTAAATATCGATTTATACACAAAAATCAATTTTAAAATAATATAAATATTCGTAAGAAATTATACAAATAACACTTTTAGTTTCAAATTTGTAACTGAGAGCAGTCGCATTACGAGCCAAGCAATTTTGCATTATTACAAAGCAGTTTAAATATACAAATATCTATTATTAAAATATCACAAAACATATCAAAGTGAGTTATTTAAAACTAGAGAAAACTATCACAAAACATATCATCATAGAAACTTACTTATGAGAACGCAAAAGTTGTTTACTTTATAAAGAATCCAATTCGTGGACCAAATATTACTTGAAAACCAAAATATAAATACGAGAGCGAATACAATTATTCAAATTCCACTATAGATCTTATGAGGTAAGTTAACAAAGATTATTATCATAATGATGTAATTAATTTCGTAATAAATCTACTTTACCTGAAAATCTCCTCTCTCTGCTTTAACTGAGCGTAAAGGAAAATTCCAAATGTTTTTACTTAAACTAATATGAAATACGTATTGGTTATAGACTTTTTAAGTATGTTGAATAGTATTTTATTTTTAACATAGTTGAGCTCATGATAAGAACGGAAATGCATTGAATCAATTTTAAACGACTCAAGAAACCCAACAATACTTTAATGATCCTTATTTAAGAGACCCCGTTTTTCTTAAATTTGGGATTTCGTTTTAAAATATTCATGTTTTAGTTAAATCCGAAATTGTCAAAATTGTCAAAATTAACCCGATTATGAAATGATATGTCATTTCGATTAGTTACAATCATTTTGTATCTATCTTTTCTTTCTGAAAATATATTCTTTTTAAGAAACTGAAGTCCACAGCAAATAAACTTGCCAACTTTTGACCTATTTTTACTTTGAAAATATTCAAACTCTTTCATCTAAATAAAAATAAATATATGAAATCGAAATTTTGTAATAAAGTTTTTCCAAAACGTATTTTGCAAGTTGTGGAGTAAATAGAACGAGATCAATTGTTTTTATCTATTCATATTTATTATTTTTTTTTATTTAACCCAAAAGCTCACCTTAAGTCACCTGAACTAAAGGTAAGAAAAAAAAAGCATAACAATCAACTTTATTTTTCCACACTTGTTCTGGGTCCCACAAAAACCTTCAATGTTCGAAGTTTCCTTTTTCTATTTATGGTCAAGTAATTACCTGTAATTAATTTACTAGCACTTATTATAATCATAAGAATAAATAACAGAAGTGAACAACTTCCAGGACTAGCTCTCGTTATAAGAAGCATTTGAATGTTGTAAAATAGGTAAAACTGTGGGTGGACTTGAAAGTAAGCCACCGCGAACAGGAACAAAATCAATAAGCCAGCATGTGTGTGCGTGTCTTATATGGTCTTAGTGTGTGTATTTGTGCACCACACACAACAAACACACGCACTTGCACAGTTCAGTTACTGTAGCGCGAGGCAGGCTATTAAAATTTTCATTTTTATGATTATCGTCTGTGAAAATCCAAAACAATTGTGCGGGTTCACACGACGTGAAGCAGCGCCAGGATTAGGAGCTAAGCGAGAATTGTTCTAAATGCCAAAGGCTTCAATACCGAACCAGCGTGAGTGTGTGAGTGTGTGTGTGTGTGTGCGTGTGTGACAATGTGTAACTTTGGCCATAAAATAACATTTAATTTTCAATTACTGGATTTGGCATGGGGCATGGCCAAGGAGGCCTGACACGCCCACGCACAGCACCTAGCACAAAAGCGACCCAATTTTAAAAGCGGGCAACCGAAGAAAAGTGGGCAAACCTCACAGGTGACTGCACAGCAATAACAACAACAACAAAAACAGGGTGGTTGACTGGGCAGCTGGTGGTTTGCATAATGCTGACAAAATTGCTGTTGCTTTCGGCTATTAGCCGCGAGTCGTGCTCGCCCTCCCTCTGTTTAAAGCCCATCTGCAGCGGGCTTCAATTTGCAGCAGCATCAAAAATTTACTACACTTTGGTGCTGCCAATTCCTTGGCCCATTTCGCTGCGGGCAACACAAGCAGCGGGCTGTGGCATTATCCAGTGGCAGTTGCCACCACGACGAGACGCAGCAGCAGCAGCAGCAGCAGCAGCAGCAGCTGTGTTTTGGCATTCTAGCTTCTGGCCCTTTGGCTATTGCTGCTGCCCGAGCACTTTGGTCCTCGTGTTTTCAGGTGTCTTCTAATGACGGTAAAAATGCGCTTTGGGGAACGCACAAGCGTCTCAATGCGCTGCAATGCGAAGTGTTGCAAACTTTTTCGCCAGCCACTTACCGGGTGAGCGTAATTTACCACGAAGTCTCAATTTTATGTAAATTATTTTTGTTGCCCACTTGCAGAGTAATGCACATCTCGCCCCCTGACTTATCCTTAAACCTCTGTTTTTTCTTCAACTGCACGTTACGTATACGTTTCATAGTGCATACTTTTGGCGTTATGCGACAAGGCGCAAATATGACGTAATCTGAAGTAAGCAGAAACCTGACCGAAGTGCTTGGAAACAGTCACATTTTAACTTAAATATTTTATTTAGAAATATTAATTTGTACAGAAAACCGTTTAAGAAAACCGTTGGTTTTTATTTATTATTGTTATTTTGTTTTCCTGTAACAAA